GATGAATTATAGATGATGGATGGATAAATTAATGTATGATGGGTGGATGGATGGATGGATGGATGATGGTTGAACGGATGATGGATGGATGGATGAATCATGATGGATAGATGAATTATAGATGGATGGATGGATTGATGGATGATTGTTGGATGTTTATGTATGTTTGAGGTGAAGTACCTTCTGTTAACCTGTTGATCTCTGTTGTAACTGATCTGTTTTGAATGAGGGACCAATCTGAAAATAAAAACAGTAAATCATGAGAGAACCACACCTGTTGCGTCCTGCAGAGCCACCATGGGTCCTCTTGATCTTGTTTACTACAAAACTTTTCAAAAGTAGATTTTTTTAAGCAGCCATATTGAGCTGAACTTCTGACCTATGGGTGTTTAAATTTGTTGTAAATTTAGACCAGGGGTGCACACACTGTTCAGCATGCAAGCTACTTATAAAATGATCAAGTCAAAGTGATCTACCTACTATAAAAATACAAAATATATACTTATTCATAAACATATTAGGTAGTCTTTATGTGTACAATATACTTTGATGCACCTTGCATAACTCCACTAACCTATTGTACAATACAACTCTGTACATATTTTGTACAGATAACATGATTACTCTGACGTGCACCAATGGAATCAGCCAGGGATGCATAGTCCATACAGTAGCTGCTGACAGCCAGCCTCAAGCACACTTCCAAATGATCTTGGTGGAACGGTATTTGGACCTGATAATCTTCATGTGGAAAAAGGCTGACTCGTATAAATAAGTGGAGCCGAATAACACAGTGAAGGAGGTAACACATTTCCTCGGGTTGGGGTACTTTTCCTTTGTGAGTAAATTCCAAAACTGTCCATGAGCCCTGGCCTTAAACTGAATGTCAGCTTGTAGCATCAAAATCTCATCCTCCACTTCAGAAAAGTGAGAAACACTCTCAGACGCAATAACTTCCAAAGTTGCTGGGTCAAATCCTCAGACATGGCTTCACAGTGCCTTCTTGATACCTGGAGAGCTTTGATTAAAGATAATATTCCTGGTTTGTTTTTAAAGTCTTGGAACAATGAGTCAGCTGTTTCAACGAATGCCTCTTTTACCATCTTTCCATCTTGGAAGGACGTCTTGTGTTTAACAAGTAAGTGACTCACCCGGAAAGATGCTATGGTAGCTGCCTTCGCTTTTGTGGTCTGCTGTAAGAAAAATGACTGCTGTTTGTATAACTGGGATTTTAGTTCCTTCACCTTTTTCTCCGCTCGCTTTTCAGAAGGAAGTCAAATTCATAGTTTTTTATAAACAGTCAAACATGCCGCACCACATTTCCCTTCTTCGGGATAGTAATAGTAGACTAGCAGATGAGGCAAACGCACATCGAATGTCATTGTGTCGGAAAAAAGTCCTCCCATTCCGTATGGAAATGGTAGGTTTTTTTTGTTTCTTTCTTGGTCTGGCTCTCCCACTCATTTTACCCTTTCTTGAGTTTAGAAGAAATAATTTGGAGGCTATTACTAGGCAACTTGGTAGCTTGCTGTTTTTTGGCATGGTTGTATGCACATGCGTGGTGACCCACATGTCAGAAAAGGTCAGGTCTCAGACTGGCTGCCCTGTATGTCAGTCAAGTGACAAATTTCATAGTCAGGATGGATGATTGACTGACGTCTATTTTTTGTTAATGCTATGCAATCTACCAGTACTACCTTTGCGACTGACTGGTAGATCGCGATCAAAGAATTTGAGAACCCCTGATTTAGACTGTTCCTGTTCAGAGTTGATGGTCCCTGGGTGCCAATTGATGGATTAAAGAAGGGTAGATCTTGGACAGGGTTCCAGTCCATCACTCAGAGACACAACGATGCAGGCACACATAAAGAGACTTGACTCTCTGGTCAACCAGATCTACAAGTTTTTGAGCTGTGGGGAAACACTGTAGTACCTGGAGAAAGCCCACAATCTGCAGAGTCCCAAGGCTCAGAGAATGTCCAATGGACCTTTTACTTTTCCAGAGCTGATATAAATCCTCTTTGACAGTATCGGTAAACCTCAGGTCACAGCCTTCATGTAGATGACTCTGAATCCACATGGACCTGAGTGGTTCTGGTGTGTTTGTATGTCCCACAGAGACTGAGTGGTCTGGCTGGTTTGACAGAGATGATGAAAGGGGCTCTGGAGACTGGGAGAAGCTCTCCGACCTGCAGAAGGCTTTTCCAGACCAAGTGTGTAGCAGTCCGCTGGACATTCAGGTACATCTTATCTCTTGAATCGCATAAATGTGTGTTTATGTTGGAGAGACACCAATAAAACAATAATTTTAACAATCAACTGATAGTTGTGCATCACTCAACGTGTATCAGAATCTGTTCTGGTCCCACAGAAAAAAGGACTATTTGATGTGTTACCATGACTTATGATTATGGTAACATTATACCAGCTGGTCTGAGACAGACCAGAACCAGAACACATCCCTGTTGTCTTTGGAAAGCTCCACTGTCAAACATTTTAAAGCGTCTCACGCAAACAATATTTTAAAAACATTTAAATTACTTTTCCTTTTATATTAGAGCAGACCAGGTCAGTGTTTGGTCCATTACTTGAACTGATCCATTTGTCGATCTCTGTTGGTTACCAGTACTGATCCATAAGTTGGTCTTGGTCCATTAACAGTACCATTCCATTAGTCGTTCTTTAGTCCAGTACCAGTATTGATCTTAGGTCCTTCTTTGGTCCATTACCAGAACCAGCTAATTTTACTGATGGAAAAAATGACGGCATTTTAAAACACAATAAAATAATTTCAGCTTTAACTGTCATAAAAAGTTGAATGTGGATTCTGTTGTAGTCCTGGTCCGGCTCAGATCAGCTATTAGCTGAACCTCATCAGAGCTTCTCTGATGATTTGATAGATTTCTTATGAATTTTTTTTTCAATCAGTTGATTTTTGTGTTCAGGCTGAAACCCATGATGGTGTACCATGCAACCAGACAGGAGATGTGATCTACAAGAATGACAAGAACTACGGCTTTGTATGCCGGAACCAGGACCAGACCCACGGCCTGTGTCAGAATTACAGAGTCCGCTTCCTGTGTGGAAAACTGGGTACATTTACCACCACCTTTCTGTGTTTCTAACTGCAGGATGTAAATATTTCCCCATGTAGCCTTTTTCCTTTTCTCTGCAATTTGTCTTCAGGTATCTGTGACCTTTGACCCTCCTGTCCTCGGGTCTTTGTGACCTTTAACCCTCTTGTCCTCAGGTCTTTGTGACCTTTAACCCTCTTGTCCTCAGGTCTTTGTGACCTTTAACCCTCCTGTCCTTGGGTCTCTTTGACCTTTAACCTTTCTGTTCTCAGGTCTTTGACATTTAACACTTCAATGTTCAGATCTTTAACCTTTATTGTTTGTCTTTAGGTCTTATTGACCTTTGACCCTCCTGTCCTTATGTCTCAATGACCTTTAACTCACCTGTCTTCAGATCTTTGTGACTTTTAACCTTTCTGTCTTTAGGTCTCTTTGAGCTTTAACCCTACTCTCTTCCTGCAGCTCGTCCTCAGATCTCTGTCTCAGTGGACCTGCTGTTGGACAGCAGCATCCTGGATCTTGCAGAGCAGCCCATGGGTTGGGGGTCCCAAGATCGGGTAGTTGTTGCCAGTACAGACTACTCCATGCACCAAACTGAAGAGTTTACACTGCTGCCCTGTCCACACTGCCAACCTAACCAGGTCAGGGTCAAAGGTAAGATCCACTCACATGGGTCATGGATCCCACTGTGGGTTTCAGAAGAGACATGCATTTCTTATGCAAGTCTTTTCTAAATTCAAATAAAGCCTCCTGCACCCAGAACACTACACGGTCTTTCATTATTAATGTGTAACACGCCACCAATATGCTTTCACATGGAAATAAAAAAAAATTAAAAAAATTGTCCCTCACGATTCAACGTTGTCAGCCTTAACATGGAAACAAACCATCAGATCCACTAAGAACCATCTAAGAATCTGACTTTTTATTTTTAAAATAACTTCAAAATGGTCTTTCCTCCTGATGAAATATGCTACGTGTGTGTGCATGCGTACGTGTGTGCGTGCGTGCGTGCGTGTGTGTGGGTGTGTGCATTCGTCCAGGTAAAGCCCAGTTTATTCACATGGGTGAGGAGGTGGATGGGGTGGATATGAGGGCTGAGGTGGGTCTGCTGACCCGGAACATCCTGCTCCGTGGTGAGACTGAGCCCAACTGCTACAGCAATGACGCCTGCAAGTTCTTCACCTTTGACCCATTTGGTGGACATTTGAAGGTTTGCTGTCGACCCGTTCATATTAACCTGACCCAAATGGTCAGTAATTCTGTGTGGAGGTGTGATTCTTGTTGTTTCCTCTCTTATATCCAGGTGGAGCGGGGGTTCAGGGCGGTTCATATATCTGGGGTGGAGCTCCTGCACATGGGCCAGCAGACCATGGGTCACTACCCAGTTCATTTCCACATGAATGGAGATGTGGATGAGAGAGGAGGGTACAGCCCCCCAACCTCTGTCAGTGATGTGTCCATCCACCACTCCTTCTCCCGTTGCATCACCATCCATGGGACCAATGGACTGCTGGTCAGTCCACCGCTTGGGTTACAGTATGTTGCTTTAATGTCCTGTTTGCCCACTAAGACAAACATCACACCGGTCCACTGGCATAAATCAGGATGCACAGCACAACTTTACCCTATCCTCAAGAAATATACAGTAAAGTGTGTTAATTCATTCAAAAACTACAAAAGAAAGGCAGTGCAACAACCATACCATTTCACAATAAGAGAGGAAACGATGAATAACCAAAATAAAAGCTTTGTCCTGAAAGTTTTCAGACGGTGTCATCTTTTGTCCCCCAGGTAAAGGATGTGGTGGGCTACGACACGCTGGGCCACTGCTTCTTCACAGAGGACGGTCCAGAGGAGAGGAACTCGTTCGTCCACTGCCTGGGTCTGATGGTGAGAGCAGGAACTCTGCTGCCTTCAGACAGGGACAGTAAAATGTGTCGAGGTATCACCGATGGAGCATACCCCGGATACGTGGCAAACCCCCGTCAGGACTGCAGGTACCACAGGTTTTTACTGGACCCTTCATAGTCCACAGAGGGTCTTCTCTGGGTAGAGCTGTCATTTCTAACCCGAACCCGAAACCCGGCCCGGATCGACCCGGATTAGGGCCGGGCCGTTATAATGTGATTAATGAGTGGGGCGGGCCGTCTCGGGCTTTTAATTAGGTCAGGATTAGCCGCGATCCAATTATATGATAACATGATCTGCCATTCATTCAACTTTTGTTTAGACAGGTAAATCCCATTGAGCCTCGAGGACTCGTTTACAAGAGAGACCTGGTTTCAACAAGGAATGATGACAACAATGGACAACAGCAACAACAATAGCCAGTTATAAAAAGGCATACAGATTTTTTTTTGTTTGTTTTTTTACAAATAGGATGGCTAAAAAAAAAGAAAAGTAACAAAAAACAGCTAGATTCTAAGGCAAATGTAGAAAACTAAAAACAGGAACATGTCTGCATTGGTCCCTGCCAGGAGTCCAACAGATTCTTAAAGCCACTTAGAGAAGTCAAGGTCGAGAGCTTCAAATCTTTTTGTAAGAAATTCCAGGAAACAGGAGCGGAGTAGGAGAAGGCCCTTTTGCCAAGTTCAGTCCTCACTGAGGGAACACTGCAGGTAATAATGTCCTGAGAGCGCACGCTGTAGCTGCACTCACGCAGAGACGTGTAGGAGGAGATGTACGAAGGCAGCAGACCGAGCAGTGATTTAAAGATGAAAATGCACCAGTGAGAGAGTCTGCATGAAGTTAATGATGTCCAGTTAACCAGTGAATACAGGGTGCAGTGGTGGGTACGATAATCACAGCCAGTTATGAATCTTAGTGCACCATGATAGACAGCATCCAACATCTGCAGGGTGCTTGTAGGAGCGTTCATGTAAATAATGTTACTGTAATCAATGGAGGGAAGGAAAGTCACAGATACAAGGCGTTAATCATACATCCACCATCCGCCATACATCCACCAGCCGCACACGGCCATTTCACTGGGAGCTGAAATGTTGAAAGAGGTAAAAAGTTCAGTTAAGCTTCAGATGGGACTGTACTGCCAGACAGTGATCCATCTCCCAAATGGACGTTCATTCTGCCGCTACACTCAGCGGACGCGCACGGCCGACAACCCAAACAGGTGAGATCCCAAAGCAGACACATGTATCAGAGCTGTCCGCGTGTCTCAGTAATTCAGAAGAATGCAGGCAGAAATGGGGTTTAAATGCTTTTTTATGGCCATGAAAGGACAAACGCCTCTCAGGTCCGAATCTTGTGCTGCTTTTATTCTGCTGCGGGTCCCAGACCGTTAATATCTAATTTAAAATGTCTGTTTTTTTCTGGGTTCGGACCTTTAATTACTGTTGATTCGTCAGGTTGAGTGAGGTTCAGCAATTATGACTGCGGACTGGGGCCAGGTCGGTTCCGATTTTTTGGGCCCAAATGCAACTCTACCTCTGGGTCCAAAATGTGACAGATTTTCCAAACGCTCTAATGGTACATGCCCTCTGATCTCTGAAGTCTGAAATTCTGAGTTCCAAATCAAAAAATTAGCTGAAATGTTCCTCGTCTTGATGAAAACAGACTCAGGAAGTCACAGCAGCTGACCAAAATAAACATGGCTGACTAAACAGAATACAGAATCAGTTTTATGGACAGAACTTTAAAATCCTCCTGCAGCTCTGCAGAGAGATCTGCTCAGGTTAAAGTAAAGAGAAACTGAATCAGGTGAAAAGTTACTTATTACCAAAGGGGGCGGAGCCTCTCCCTTAGAGCCAGTTATTGACAAAGTGTTCACTTACATTTACTCCTCCATACCTGCAGCTCAGGTGAGGGTTGCAGCAGAGGAGAAGGGACACACGCATACACCCACGCATGCACACACACACACACACACACATACAAGAAAAGGAAATAAGTTTGTGTGAAAAGCAAGTTGATCATTTTACCTCTATAAATAAAGGTTGAATTAATTAATTAATTACTTAATTAATTAATTAATGACTGGTAGAGAACCAGAACCTTAAACAGAGATCTTTGTTTAATTTATAACAGCGCATCTTCAACTTTCTGGATTGCCAACCCCAACAACAACCTGATCAACTGTTCTGCTGCAGGGTCAGAGGTAAGAGGTCAATTACACACACATGCACACATGCACACACACATACATCTGATTTTCCTCCATCACTCTGACGTTTGGTCGGTGCGTGGGACAATGAAGGGGACAGTTAATTTGACTCGCGTGGGTGTGTGTGTGTGTCCACAGGAAACTGGCTTCTGGTTTATCTTCCACCATGTGCCGACGGGCCCCTCGGAGGGCCTCTACTCTCCGGGTCAGAGCGAACACACCCCAATGGGACATTTCAGCAACAACCGGGCCCATTCCAACAACAGAGTAAGTCACAGGAGCACACGCATACAGTCAGATAGCTGTACACAGGTTCAGTAGGCGTGTAACTGTACACGTCTTGATTTGGTGCCAACGTTTGGGACAGGTTCAGAGAACCAGACGTTACATTTTTCAGTCCCAGGTGTTCATCGCTCCTGTCTAGTGTGACAACTGTCAATGGTTCTAAGGACTTCATGAAAATCTTTCAGGGTTTTTCTCTCAGTTTCAGTCCTTCCTGTGTTTTACTGATATCTATCACTCTTCTGAGAACGTGTTATCTGTAGATATCCTCCATGACAGGAAGCGAGGCTCCAACGTTTGGTAGTTTTCACCACCTTCTGCAACACCTTCTGATCTGAGACAGAGCAGTGCCCGTACCAGGCTGTTATACAGTTGGTTAGGATGCTCTTGATGTTGATACTTGATTTTCTGATGAAAAGTCAGATCCAAGAACTGAAAGAGAAGAAAAAAATCCAGAGAAAATCTCTGAAAGACCTTCTGAAAGTCTGAAGAACTGTTGAAGCAGAACCACTTCATCTGATTACAGGAAAGTCAAGATCTTTAAAAATAAACCTATCTTTGGTTAATCATTAACAGAAAACGGACTAAGTTGTGTTGAACTGGATGTGTGGAGCTCTATAAATCTAATTTAGCATAAATCATGTTTGTTTTCAGCTTTCTGATCTGTATTCTGGGTTTCAGGCTGGACTAATCCTGGATCACGGAGTCAAGACCACCCAGGCTAACGACCGGGACAAGAGACCATTTCTGTCTCTGACTGGTGCCAGGTGAGATACTGGGGGAAATCTTTACTCGTACAAAAAGCCAGGATGCTGAGGTCAGGGAAAGGTCATGCAAAGGTCATAACTCCTGGTACAATTTGAAGCTGGGGTTGAGGAGTGCCTCAGTGTTAAAAATATTTTAGGTTGTTGTTTGACCAGAAAACTGATAAAAGTAATAATGCTATCCTGTTTGGATCCACAGGAACATCTGAATCAAAACAAGGAGTTCAAACCCGGATCTATAATTAATTTTATTTAATGTCTCAGTTTGGTTTTGAGTCTTTGGAGTCCTGATCCTTCTGAATAGACACGTTACTGGGTAAATGCCAACAATGTGTTACTTTCCCCAACCATGCAGGTATGGCCCACACCAGGATGCAGACCCCTTCAAACCCAGAGTCCCAGCTCTGGTCCATCACTTTGTGGCCTACAAGAACCAGGACCATGGAGCCTGGCTGAGAGGAGGAGACGTCTGGCTCGATGACTGCCAGTGAGTTCAACATACCTATTCCTCAGATGAATAATGAACGAGTCGATGGATGGATGGATGGATGGATGGATGGATGGATGGATGGATGGATGGATGGATGGATGGATGGATGGATGGATGGATGGATGGATGGATGGATGGTTGGATGGATGGATGGATGGAT